AATGAGACCCGTATGTGCGAAAACAAGAGTAAATAAAATCTGAAAGGTACAATAGATACTGTGAAAAAGGAAAGAATCTGTTCAAAGGGAAGGACAAACTGGGATGAGGAAAAGGACCAGAGAGGGAGCAAAGGGGGAGAAAAAGATATATTTATGTATGTTTTGGGATGCTTAGATAATCATACAGCTGATTTCTGCTTATCTACATAGGGGAGAAATTGAAGCTTAAATTTTTTCTTGTCCTTTTTGATTCCTTATAACTTTTTTTTCTTTTTGTGGAACCAGGGATTGAACTCAGGCCATAGCGCTTGCCAGGGAAGCACTTATTCTACTGAGCCATCTCTCCGGCCCCTCCTTATAACTTTTTTAAAAAACCAGTTTTGCATGCTTATATCTGGTAATCTGAACAACTAATGTGAAGACAACAACCATCGCTGTAATGTAATACAGCAACCATCGCTGAATTTCTGTTTTGTTTGGTGAAGCTCTGTAACGTTTATGTTTATTTCTGTATTTTTAGATAATAAAAATAAATTAAGACATAGACAAGTATCACATGATCTCACTTATGTGGAATAGAAAAAGGTTGATAACATAGAACTACAGTTGAATGATGACCAGTCTGAGGTGTTTAGTGGAGAGGGCTGTGGTGATATTGGTCAAAGAATTCAAATTTTCAGTATGACAGTCTAAGTTCAAGAAGCCTATTACAAAACATGGCAATTATAGGTAATAATATATTGTATTCCTGAAAAAAGAGTGGATGTAGAGTTTTTACCACACAAATGATATATGAAGTATTACGTACATTAATTTAGTCATCTCAGTGTATGTATATTTTAAAACATTGTATTATATATAGCAAATACATAAAACATGATCTGCCAATGTAAGAAATAAAATTTAAAACTTTTTAAAAGATGTAGGATCATAATATTGATATAGGTCCTAATGCAGCAACTGCCAACATTCAGGTATGAACTATGTTCTATAATATACAGTCCACAGATATTTTATCTCCCACATTTTGTTAGTTATTTGTCTTGCTTTTGGCTGAAACTTATCAATGTCATGAACTGTGTTAACCCTTTGATTTTTAATTCTAATGTGTTACAGGCTTAAAAAACAAATCTGTGTATAATATAGTTCACTACACTGGTGTGAGAGGGGCTTAGTCATGAATGTTTATACAATTCATTTTTTTTTCTGTACCAGGGATTGAACCCACGACCTTGAGCTAGCCAGGCAAGCGCTTATTCCACTGAGCTATCTCCTCAGCCTGCAATTCATTTTAAATATTTAGAGTTTTGTTCCAGGCTATTTCCTGTCACCAGTTTTGGGTTTTTTTTTTCTTTTTATTAATTTTATTGAGAAAAAAATAGCAATGAGACAGTTTTAATACAGGTTAGTAAGACAGTTTCAATAATACATTCCATATTGTCTTTGTAGTAGTTATTCATAGTACAACATGCAGATATGATATCCTGTCCAAACACTGTTAGTATAAATCTTTCTCAATGAATTAAGAGAAAGTAGCTGTATATCTATCCTACCTATTTCATATATACAGATACAAAATGGTCCTTCATTTATATCCTCTTCTTTGTTTAGCTTTGTCAAGGATGGGTATTTCATTGCCATTTAAATAGTGGAGGTGTGTGAATTCAGCAAAATAATACAATATAGTCCAGTAGTCCATAATATTGGTGCGTTATCCATAGGAATGGCAATATCAGGAGTTGTTGACTTGAACCTTTCACAGCTCAGCATATTAATATGGCTTTACTTTTTATACCTCATTTTTATACTTTTCTGCTGGATGGTTAAGACCGAGATAAAGCAAGACCTATATAACAAAAAATGTAACTTTCGTATCTGACAAGGTCAGTCAAATATCCTCAGGATTTACCCTGAGACATGTACAGCCATTTGTAGATCTTTTGTCACTGTCAGCCATGTGGATGAATCATGGCCATTGCTTGACCAATTTGCTCTCTGTGAAAGACAGAGAATGTTCTCTCTAGGTGAGTCTCCTTAGGCACACTCTACATCGTTGATCACTTCCTCTGTGTCCCCATAATCTCCTTGATCAGAAAATTTGGGACACCACTGAGTTACAGGATGTTACAGTATAGGTTCGCTTATGTCCTGAGTCCTCACTGACCTTGAATGGCTAGGGCCAAAATATTGGCTGTCCTTGCAGCCCTTCTTTTTACTAATTTTTGGTCCACAAACTTAAGTTGTCAACCCTCCAGAAGAGAAGCTAAATGATATAATCCTATAAAATAGGAAATTGAGTTTAACTTCATTAACTGTCTGAATATCAAACATCTAGACATAACATGGAACAGATATTTTCCATCAAGTATTGCTATGTTGAACTTTAAATCCCTACAGAATTGTCACCTGTTTTTTGATAGGTACAGAACTACTGCAAAAAATCCTTAATCAGAACCAAAGATATTAGTCAGGCACTGTTACAGTTTGTGTATAGGTGTCCCCCCAAAGCCTCATGCAATCTTGGAGTGGCTTCTGGAGTTTGTGACTGATTATTATGGGTATGGATGCTGCACTTGCCTGGGGCAGGTAATTTGCATTTCATTGTAAGGAAGGAAGAGAAGCTAGCTGCTTGAGTTGCTGCTACTTCTCCTTTTTGCTCTTGCTCATTGCCGCCACCATGAAAGGTTGTTCTCTGCCATGTGTCAGGCTACCTTGGAGCCAGGTGAGTATGGACTGAAACCTCCAGTAACTGTGAACTAAATAAACCTTTCCTTCCTTCATTTTGAGTGTCAGGTATTTGTCCCAGCAACAAGAGAAGAGTAACTAAGACAGGCACTATGGGATACAATTCTAGTCTGAGCTACTCAGAAGGGTAAAGCAGAAAGAATGCTTAAGCTTACAAGTTTGATATCAGCCTAGGCAACACAGACCTATGTCAAAAAAAGCAGATACTATAAAAATTAAGTAAGGGCCTAAAAATTCCAAATGTTACCCATGAAAAGATGATGACTTTGCTGTTATTATTTTGTCCATTTTCTACAAGGCATGTAGATTTTCTAAAAGGAAGGTGTATAGTAAAAATATATTTAAGCCTTTTTAGTAGAAATTATTAATGTTTTTGTTGACAAAACATCTGGCATATGGGAAACATAATACAAAAACTCACTACATTGAGCTTTTTTATAAAACATTCCATGAAAGTTTTATAGTTCTTATACGTACTTTTTGTTTCAAAAGCATAAAAATCAATTGGGTAAACTTGTTAAAATACAGATTCCAATGTTTTGACCTATAGATTTTCATTGACTATGCGAATTTACATATGCACACATGTATACAACATGTATGTAGAAATGAAAAGAATGGTTGCATTGTAAACAAACGCTGTAGGCAATTCTGATGAAACTGGTTTCAGCTGATCCTAACAGTGGCCTCTATAATTGTGAAGGAGCAAGTAGTTAGAAATGAGGGGAAAAAATGTAGGATGCCAAGTGAGAAGGAAAACAGTGAAAGAGTTCACAAGCCTGGAAAAGGCAGAGCACAGTGGCACACACTTCTAAGTCCAGCACTCAGGAGGCTGAGGCAAGAGGATCACTGAGTTAGAGGCCAGCCTGGGGCTACAAAGTGAGTTCAAGGCCAGAGTAAAGTGCAAAGCAAAACTCTTATCTCAAAAAGACACACACACAAATAAAAGAATGGAGAATTCATGAAGGTGACAGAAGTGCCTGATTCATTGAGAAAATTGGCTAAAGACAACTAGAGAATGGCTAGAGGATATAAAACTAGCGTAGAAAAGTAGAGGCTAATGAAAACTATGCTAAGATGACTGGGAAATCCATAGTCAAGTTTGGAAGCATATAGAACAACTGGATTTAATGACTATACAAATAGTGTTAAAAAAAGAAACAAAAAATTCTTTAAAATCAAGGGAGCAAATGGCCTGATTAAAAAGAAGTATTCAGGGAGCTGGGAAGATAGCACAGCAGTCTAAGTGCCTGCCCAGCAACACAAGGACCTGGGTTCAGTCTCTGGTACTGCAGGCTGCATTGCTGTGCCAGCCACTGAAACCAGGCATGGTGCCGCACACCTGTAATCCCAGTGCTGGGGAGGCTGAGACAGGAAGATCACTATGAGTCTAAGCTGCATAGCCAGACCCTGTACCTAACAAACAAATAAATAAAAGACTTTTTAAGTTTTTTTTAAAAAAGTACTCAAAGTGAGCATTACAAGATCATGGTGGTTGCCTCAGCGTAGATTTAATAAAACACCCTGTTAAAACCCTGATTACAGAGTAAACCACAACCTGGCTAACATGGTACTAGAAGAACACCCATAATTACTTACTCATTCATGACTGTGCTATACCAACTCTGTATACTATAGACTTTTTGCATTGTTTTACAAAGTGAGAATCTAGAATAAAAGAAAAAGTACAAACACTATCTAGGCTTGCCCAGTGAAATGTAATGCATTAAAGAACTTTAGTCGCTTTAAGGAATCACTATGTCTCTCCAGAACATGTCAGGTTCTTCCCACAAGGCAGACTATATCAGAGATGCACCCTGAAAGCTTTCTTTCTGAGCTCTCTGTCCCACATCTCTCCACTTCCCCGGCCATTCTTTTTATTTATGCAGTATATCCTCCACTGTATCATGAATTGCCCCAAGTATCATCAGTTTCCGCCTCCATTTAAGGTTGAGCCTCACAGACAATGACCACGCAGTGCTAACCCCAGGAACCATCTTCCCTCCTGCACAATGCCATTATGAGTGGGACCTCTGCTCTCATCTCTGAAGGAGAAATACAATCTTCTCCTGCCTACCACCCTCTTTACGTCTTCCATGAGACACAGATAATAGTAACATTGAAGAGCTTCGTAAGCAGGAAATTACCTGGAAACTGTGTTTAGAACTTATTTCAGGCCCACTTTGCTGTATTTGCATAAGGGTGAACCAGCTAACCACATTTCAGTACAACATCAGGTGGCAACCCTAACTTACCAGCATAACTTGGCTGATTAACATTCGCACCTTTCTGAATAAAACAATGAACAAGATCAGCACGATCATGTAGAACAGCCTCATACAACAAGTTCTCTCCAAAAATGTTTCTGCGGTTTATACTAGAGAGAGGCATTTTATTAATCTTCAGTTTTTCTGAAATGAGAGAATAAATGCAAGAAAAAATATTTATTTGAAAATCAGCATAAGGAAAAGTGGGTAAATCCAGCCAATATTCAGAAAGAATACTATATTACATTATGAAAAGTATTCCATCTATGAATCCAATGGAAAGGAGAAAGAGATGTGTAGTTTTTAAATATTAGTAAATTAAAAGTAGACATTATTAAATCTTTTTAATTTTTTTTATCTGGCAGTACTGCACACTGAACCCAAGGCCTTTGCGCTTTTTATTCTTCATTTTAGGGTCTCACTAAATTGTCTACGTTGGCCTTGAAGTTGTAATCATCTACTTCAACCTCCTGAGTAGCTGAAAGTACCAGAGTGCATAAACATTGTCATAGCTAACTCCAGCTTTTTTTTTTTGGCAGAACCAGCCAGGGATTGTACTCAGGCCCTTGAGCTTGCCAGGGAAGTGCTTATTCCACTGAGCCATCTCCCTGGCCCCACCAGCTTTGTTTAAAAAAGAGAATAAACATCTTTTCTTATTGAGATAGGTGAACTGCTTAGAGTGCTGTAATCTTTCTTCTCAAGAAGAAGTTTCTTCTATTTAGCTTTTCATTTACACCTTTTTTAAAAAAGTCTCTCAGCAGAATGTTTAAATTTCCTTTTTCCAGGAATGGCATAGTTCCTATTAGTTATAAAAATAGACAATTTCTCTTTGCAACAATTTGAATGAGAACTCATATTCTTTGTATTTATATATTAAATGTACTAATTGTAAATTTTTTGATTTATTGAAGTTTTGTAAATTTTGTATAATATATTTAGACTTTCAGAAAAGTTGTAAGAACAGGACAAGGTGGATAGGGCTATAGCTTCATGGCAGCGCACACACAGCACATGCAAGGCCTTGGGTTTCATTCTCAGGACTGCAAGATATGCAGGACTTGTTCATTATTGACATTTCTGACAAAACTTTATGTCATTCCATGTCCATCTTTATATATGCATACACACACATAGCATGCATATATATATATATATATATATACACACATACACAGAAATGAGTATATACACTTTATTTTACCACTAATACTGAAGTGTATTTAAGAACATTTTTATATAACTAGTCATCAAATTCTGAAAATTTAATAATATAATCTATAGCCCATATTTCAATTTTGCACATTTTCCCACAATTATTTTCTAGTTTTTTTTTTTTTTTCAGAACAGGGGATTGAACTCAGACCCTTGTGCTTGCCAGGGAAGCGCTTATTCCACTGAGCCATCTCCCCGGCCCCTTAGATATTTTTATTATAACTGAGAATTTTTAGTTCAATACTTCAGGTTTTATAGGAACAGAAATCCAACCTAAAAATAAGAATTTAGCCTTGTCCTTTTCTCCAGTCCTCTTTTATCTTTCTTGCAATCTTTTGTTAGGTTGTTCACATACTCAAATTTGAAAAGAATTCTATAGCTTTCTCCAAAATAGAATTACGGAAAAAAATGCCAGCCTATTAGACAGATGTTCAATTAATGCTAACAAGCTGTGTCATGCTGGGAAAAGTCTTACCATCTCTGACGTTGTTTCCTAATCATTAGTAAAGGAGAACTCTGAAACAATCTTTGAATGTTTTCTATCAAAATTTTGTTTCTCTAAGTAACTTAACAAAAATGGACAAATATTTTAAATATGCCTCACCTCTTTTTAGTGTAAGTCGCTCATTTTTCCTGATCTGTACACTCTGGAATCTGGCTGAATGCATATTCTTTTCATCTTCAATCATTAAAACAGGATCCTGCATTCTTAAAAGTCAAACGTATTTTTAAATTGCTACCAGTTTTCTTACAAGCAATCATAGAAAGCCCTACCAAATTTTGAGTAAATTTTGAAAATCTAAAAGGTATTTTACCGAATATTCTCAAAGAGGCAGTGCAGTTTTAAATACAAGCTGTAGATAATTCTGTCACAGACATGCCTAACCCTGGTGCTTCTAGCTCTCGCTCCATGCTTCCCCTCAGGTGCAGTCACTTACAACTACAAGGCTGTGAGACTCCTGCTCTGCTCCTTACTCCCCAAACTGGCATGCTCCTATCTATCCTACTTACCTGCTAAGGAAAGAAAGGCAAGATTTTTATGACAGTAAAGGGTTCACTATATGGAAATAACACCAATCAAAAACTGCAGAATAAAAATGTATCAACAGAAAAAAAAATCAAGCTATTTAGGGACAACTTTAGAATGACTCTAGCTTCCCCAGCATATAATTATCTATTAAGTCTATAGAATGCTTAGAGAGAAAATTGTGATAGATGGCATACTTGAAATTTTCAGCTGACTTATTCCTTACTTCATCCTCACAGCCATGCTCTTTTGATACAATCTTCTCTGGCATCTTACACATGTCTTCAGTACCCTTTACATCTTGGCTCACTTTCCTTTTTTCCAGTCTACATGACCTCCGTAACAGACGTGGAGTTTCCTGGTCAGAAGCATCATGTGTGGCATGTGGCTTATTATTTAGTGGATCACAAGAGGTGACATTTTGATGAGCCAAACTTTGGAATTCAAATGGATTTGAGTTTTCTATTATCTGTAAAATGTAAATATATCCACAAATAATTACAGCAATGAAAAAATTAACATCAGAACAAGTTAAATTTCCTTACGTTACTAAAAATAAATGAAAATAAATGAATTAAAAATGTGAATGTAATGAAAAATTCTATAATTACTGTAATAAAAGAAAATGTCTATTTAAAAGCTTAAGATCATCAGTAAAAACAACTTCGTTCTTAAAATTCAAGGGAAAACCTAAGATCACTACTGCTTTAATTTTGCAAGAAACAGATAACGTAGAATAGTAAGACCTACAAAAATACTAGAAAGATCATACAAGCCTAGTTAGTTGTTCTACGCAGCCTACTATTTTATTACTTGACAGCAGCAATAAGTGATATTTTGTGGGACGAGATCATAACCGCCATTAAATTGACTTTAAAAGGTTAACAGTATCAGGAATTGCTACCATTTACCCCTATAATCAAACACAGATTTAACTTCTATGAAGATATTTATATTTTCAATAATCATCTAAATTTTCTTGAGTTTATTTATACATCCAGCTTGCAAATGTTCTGAAGCTAAGTTTCCCTATTTTATCACAGCTCAATAAAAGAGTATTTAACTTTATCTGTCCTAAGTAAACCTTTTACTTCCTAAGGGTTTCTTTCACATGAAGACTTGCTAATACGTGTTTCTTGTATTAATACCAATCATAGCTTCCTACAATTTATCCATATTCCTTCTTTCCAGGTTAGAACCCTGGAATATTTAACATTTATGTTCACATCCATGATTATTGTCTCTTTTTCTAAAATATTTTTATCCTGTTATATCTGTTTGGAGGTTTGTTAACCAGAACCACATGCAATTATTACTCTACATGTGCATACTGCAACATGAGCTCAGCGTTATGTCACTTCACACTTGAGTATGGTCAACAAGGAGGGAAGCGGTGGAACAAAGGGCAAAGGAAGGGGAGAAGGGAAGAGAAGAAAAGGGGCTGGAGGGTCTACGGCCATACCACCCTGAACGCGCCCGATCTCGTCTGATCTCAGAAGCTAAGCAGGGTCAGGCCTGGTTAGTACTTGGATGGGAAAAGGGGCTGGAGGGAGAGGACAGAAGGGGGTGAGGGACAGTGAGGGGAGGGGAGAAGAAAATACAGGTGACCGTTATCAGTGAGTTGGTTAAGTTACAGTATATTCATACACTAATACCATTAAGCAAGTTAAAAGATTTAAGTGGTGCTACATTTCCTAATACTGAAAGGTAACCAAAATATATTAATAAATTTAAAAAGTTGCAAAGTATCTTATATAATGTAATCCTACTTGAAAAAATAAACTTACACAGAATTTAACAGAAACAATTAGAGACAATGTGCCAGGTATTACCAATTATTTTGAGAATGAAAATGAGGGATTCTTTTTGTTACTTATGGGGGCCTGCCCCTTAGCTCAGTTCTTTAAGTGGCTGCTTCAACAAAGCAGTCAGGCTCAGGTTGCTGTGGTTTGATCCCCACAACTCCAGCCAGCCAAACCTGCCCTGAAGGCATTCGGAGAAAAAAAAATAATCCTTTTTGTTACTTATTATTTCCATTTATTTGTTGATTACACAATTCTCTAGTGTTTGAATTTTTTATAATGAAGATGCAAATGATCAACATGGAAAAGGAACTTGGCACCACTGTAAGCCACTGCACGGCCTTCAAGCATAGTGTTAAACCATACTTCTAAATTCAAGAGTTTTATCTGGTGGTATTCTCAGCCATAAACACAAAGTTCTGCTTAAGATACGCATGTATTTTTCCTTACCTGGCAGCCCAAATTGCATATTTTCTATGTACAGTTATAAACTGAGATATCACATACCTATTCTGCACTCATGGAAACAAGGTGATTTTCTGAGCTAACAGAAAATTTTGGGGCCGGAGACATAGCTCAATAGAATAAACACTTGCCTGGCAAGCGTAAGGGCCTGAGTTCAATTCCCGGTTCTACCCAAAAAAAAAAAAAAAAAAAAAAGAAAAGAAAAGAAAAAAGAAAATTCTGGTAAAGAATTCTTCGCTCAACACACAAGTACACTTCTCAAGTCTGCTGGAGAAAAAACACATTTTAACTTCATGATCCCTTGAAATCTCTACCCAAGAACTTCTAAAAAAGATCACTGAATGAATGCTTGAGGTTGACAACTGAGAAGCTTTTTAACACAAAGAAGATGTTGAAAGTTACTGTAAGTGGCAGAATCAGACTCATACTTGTACCTACTTGTTCCTTGGTTCCACTGATAACACTTTAGTCTGATAGCTCAGCTACATTAGAACTGTATTTAAAATAGTGAAGTAAAATAAAAGCACTCGAACTTCACCTCTGCTCTGTGTGTACAATCTTCATCTGTCTGAGACATACCAGGCTCCATTTCCAAACATTCATTTCCACTGAGACCGAGCCCTGTCTTATCTTCTGACAATGTGTTCAGGGCTGCCAACAGCTCAGGCGGTAATACATCATCCTCTGTGTTTTCTAGTAAATCTCTACAATATGGAGACAAAGCACTCAAAGATATTGACATGGAACTTGAGGAGTTGCTCAGAGGGTTCATCAGTTCTCTAGGATCAAAATCATTCACTGTTTCAAACAGTTTCTTTCCTTTGGTGCTTTCTGGTGATGTCAGTGACTTTTCTAAGGCAGACACAAAAGTTTCAACTGAGCTTTCTTCATCCTTAGTTTCTGTAGAACTCATGGTCAGTGAGACTTCCTTTCCAGGGCCATAAAATATATTTGGTGCTGCTAAGATCTTCTCTGGCTCTACTAATGATTTCTCTTCTACAGCAACCATACCAGGTACTACAGTAGCAATATTTGAAAGCAGACTAATTTCAGGGGAGTCTCTCTCTTCCCTTAGTTCCTGTCAATTTCCAAACAAAATATCATAATTATAATAAAAACAAGAAAATGTTTAAGATGAAAAATTATCAGTTTTGTTTTGTAGCTTACCCTCAAAAAGTTTTCATCAACTTTCTTTCTTAAAGACCATGACTTACTACTTTCCTATGCCAAATTGCTTGTGACTGAATGTATAGTTAAACATTAATACTGAGCCAAGGGCAATACTGGCTGCATTACATTTACAGATAGCAATTAATCTGTTCAACTGTGTTTAGAGTATTTGCACTGACAGAAGAAACCTCTAACATACAGCTCTCTGAACTTTTTATTCAAGTAATCTTTTTTCTCAGAAGATCTATTCCTATCACAAGACACAAGTGATTAGGAAATACTGTACTACTGTCAATGAATGACAGAAAAGGAACAATTACTTTTGTCAAGATTACCAGAGTCATCTTAAATAAATCCACAGTGGAGAAAGGACTTCAGCCAGACAATAAAAGATTTCTGAAGGACTGAAAGGGAGAACACATATTCACTTGGTACCATTAGGTGCCAGACAACACGACTCACCATCCCTCCTAGTCTTGATAGTAACTGTATGGGACAGTTAACACTTTCTTTCATAGATACAAGTAACAGAATTATTCTCGGAACCTAGATCTGGTTCCAAATTTCACGTTCCTTCCCCTGCTGACTCCTGACTTCAGGAAAAAAAGAAGCCTGACAGCAGAAATGCGTAGTTGACAGGATGAACCACAGATTAAGAAAGCTCCAAATCCTAGCCACAAGACCACCAGGGAACTGTGAAACACAGATTAAGAAAACAGTACTTATTGAAGAGCAAATTCTCAAAAAGGTTTTAGACAAGAATATATTTCTATCTCTTGAAAAAGCATTAAAGGATATATTACAAGTGATACAAGTGCTTTCCTGGCAAGCACAAGGTCCTGAGTTCAATCCCTGGTACCACCAAAACAAAAAATAAAAACTGATACATGTAGATTTAATGTAACTCCAATCAAAATTCCAATAGCATTCTTCACAGAACTAGAAAAACAATCCTAAAATTCATACAGAACCAGAAGAGATTCAGAATATCAAAAGCATTCCTGGGCAACAGCAAAGCATGAGGCATCACAATCCTGGATTTTAAGTTATACTACAGAGCTACAGAGATAAATACAGCATGGTACTAGTACAAAAACAAAATATATTGATCAATGACACAGGACTGTGCATACAGAAACAATACTCGGCACTGCCAGCCATCTGGTTTTCAGAAAAAATGCTGGAGAAAAGACCATCTCTTTAACAACAGTTGCTGAAAAATTTGTATACCCACATGCAGAAAAATGAGTCTAGACCCATGGCTCTCACTCTACTAAAATCAAACCAAAATCAATCAAAAAACTAAGTACTAAAACAATATGCTAGAAGATAAAATGGATGAAATGCTTGAAGACACTGTCATAGGCAAGTACTTTCTGAATACAATCTCTTCTGCACAACAAGTTATATCAACAATAAACAAACAAGATTATACAAAATTAAAATCCTACACAGCAAAGGAAACAAACAGAGGGAAGCAACAACTTACAAAACAGGAAAAATGTTTTCCAACTGCTTCTGGGACACAGGCTAATATCTAAAATACATAACTAAAAGAAATTAAGACATTCACAAAATAAAAGACCTACTAAAAACAGACAAGTGAAACAAACACTTCTCAGAAGACATACAAATGTCCAATGAATACATGAAAAAAAGTTCAGTATTTTTGGTTATTAAAGAAACTCAATGAAGCAATGAGATTCCATGTTACTTCAGAAAAAGCAGTTATCATCAAGAACTCAAAAACAACAAATACTGATATGGCGACAGGAATAAAGGAACCTTTCCTCCCACAATACTGGTAGGAAAGTAAACTAGTACAACCACTATGGAAATCAGTATGGAGATTCCTCAAACCCTAAAAATATAAATTCCATTTGAAGTTGAAAGTAAAGATACCTTATTACAGTGATACAGCAAACTCATGTTTATAGCAACACGATTTATAAATTTTGGAATCAGCCTATATGTCTATCAAGAGTTGAATGAATGGATAAATGTATCCATTCATTTGTGTGTGGTATTTGCACACACAAAAATACTACTCTCCCATAAAGAAAGGTTAAGAAATGCATGTTTCCCTTTCTGAAAAGCATAAAGTATAAATAATTTAAAGAAGAAAACAGAAGATAAGGAACAGTGAGGTGGTCTTTGTGGAGATGGCAAGGCGATCTAGGAAGGGGGAGGTGAAAGATGAGGGAGAGAATCAAAAAGGATCAAGGGGGGCCGGGGAGATGGCTTAGTGGAATAAGTGCTTCCCTGGCAAGCTCAAGGACCCGAATTCAATTCCCGGTTCCACCAAAAAAAAAAAAAAAAAAAGGATCAAGGTATGATATGTGTAGGTACTAATTCTCTGTGGTCAACGCATTTATTATCTTTTACAGACATATAGTAATAAAAAAGAACATACTTCTAGCTACCAAAATGACTAGCCGTATCTCTTCTTGCGAGAGGATCTAAGTGAAGGCTAATATTTTAATCAGCATGATTTAAAAAAAAATCTAAATCCATATGACCTAGCTAATCTATTACATGTATATACTAACCTTTTCTACGTATGACAAAACTTCAGTATTTTCAACTTCAGGTCCTAGAAGAAAAGAGTATGTTTTTATTTCAGTTTTGTTAAGTCACTAGAAATGTACTCTTTCAATAAGCATTTTCTGATCACATAAATTGAACTTCCTCAGATAATTCAAGTCACGTATCAAATATTATTTATTGATTCAAAAAAAGTTAGTTGGAAATAAAGTTATAAAATCCTGAGGGGAGTTGACTGACCTTGTCAGATACAAAAGTTACATTTTTTTGTTATATAGGTCTTGCTTTATCTTGGTCTTAACCATCCAGCAGAAAAGTATAAAAACGAGGTATAAAAAGTAAAGCCGTATTAATATGCTGAGCTGTAAAAGGCTCAAATTGACAACTCCAGACACTGCCAGTCCTGCGAATAACCCACTACTATTATGGACTACTGGGCTATATTGGATTATTTTACTGAATTCACATACCTACAATATTTAAATGGCAAGGGAATACCCATCTCTGACAAAACTAAACAAAACGAGGATACAAATGAAGGACCATTTTGTATCTGTATATACAACATACTTATGACAGATATACAGCTATTTTCTCTTAATTCAGTAAGAAAGATTTGTACTAACAAGTGTTTGGACAGGATATCATGTCTGCATCTTGTACTATGAATAGCCACTATGAAGACAGCAATATGCAATGTATTAATTATTGAAACTGTCTTACTAATCTGTTTTAAAACTGTTTCATTACTATTTGTTTCTCAAAATAAAAAAAGAAAAAAACCCAAATAATTACTCTTGCTTTAGAACCTCATGCTAAACAGTGATGATACACATGATATGTCTATCTTAATTGCCCCAACAGCATAACACTGGGTCCCACAAACACATTCCTTACTTTTCTACTGTAAACTTCTGCTTTACAGTAATAGTGGCCAGCTGTGTCTCAGTACCTTTGCCTCAGGGATACAGCAGGCAATCTTTGTGTTAACTCACTTGGTACAATGAAAGGCAGAGTGTGTCGTATATGCGTGCAAATGTGTCAAACCAGAATTTTCATCAACATGATACTCCATCTAAGCACATGCTTACCTGAGCATCACATAGGTGTAATACACTCACACCACTTTAAGATTTGTTTCGAAAGAGTTATTTTTTTTTCTGGTAGAAATAGCCCAATTCAGTACAATGGCACATGGTAAATCAGATTTGCAAGTTTTGGAGGTCAAAAGTGAATCATCAAATTACTCATACATGGATGGAAATGATCCATCATAGTAAAATACATGCTGTCATTACAGAAGAGGGGAGTGGGTGGATGATGATGAGGATGACTTTGATGCAGGCCATGTGAGCCCAACTTCCTGAGACAGTGAATGGAGCAAGAATTAGCTGAGGTAGAGACAAGCAATGTACACCTCCTTGATTCAGATGAGGAAGAAACCAGCAAAGTCAGCATATATCTGACTAGAAGAAATGTTGTGAAATGACCACACAACCAAATGGAACCATCCAATGTTAAAACAAGGTTTGAAGATATAGTGAAGGCCTTGGCAGGAGCGAATCATATGGGACAGCATGACAGCACTGCCACTCAATGTTAGAAATTATAACAGATGAAATGGTACACAATGCTATGAAATACACAAAGGCTGACAGACAAGTAAAATATCCTGTATACACCAACAACTTTATTAAAAAATACATAAATTATAACATTTTACTAGCTGAACGGAAAGCATTCTTAACTCTGCTGTACTCAGCACAGATTTCTTATGGTAACTGCAGGGATGTACAAGAGTTATGGAAAACCGATGGGTCAAAATATGGCATAAAAATGTATGTCCTGTAGATGTAAAATTTATTAAACTTTCAATTAAGAAATTCATCCTGGAACTCAGCCATCAGATCCTTAAATCATATAGTAACAAACCAAATGATGTTGTGAATAGACTTGTTGCTCCCAACTCCCAAACTAATCAGAATGTGACATCTGACAAGAGGTTCACGGGGATCTAATGATGGTTCTAGTGATATTACATCACTAGCAAAGCACAAGTTGACCAGCACAGGAACTGTACACAGGAACGAAGCAGAAATTCAATATGGAACACTGAAATTTCAAAATGGAACTATATAGTACAATTTGGATTTCAGCAAGATTTACATTGACCTTATATATGGCAAAGAAGAACAAACTGGTACTGCTCATATCAACACTGCACCATTGGGGAAATACTGATAGGGAAACCTCAATAAACTGGAAGTCTGAGATGGAAACTTTCTACAACAAAACCAAAGACAGAGTAGATGCTGTTGGCAAGTTATACAGAAATTATGATGTCACCTGAAACACAAAACATTGGCCAAATGGTTGTGTTTTACTCAATACTAAACATGTGTGACATAGTTTGACAGTTTACAAAGAAAACAATAAACACAAAATACACACAAAAATTTTGTTAGAGGATTGGGACACGAATTCATAAGCAATCATTTACAGTAGAGGAAAAACTAAATGTTTCTGCCCAGGAAACCACACAAAAAAACAGGGACACACTGGTGAGCTGACAGATGAATAGGCAGGCGCAGCATCCCAAAGACCTACTCTGACAATAGGAAAATGCAAAGATGTCAACTGTGCCCTATTAGAAAGAACAAGAAAACAAAACATACGTGCTAGCAGTGTAAGCAATACTTGTGCATAGAACATGCATTCATGTGTGAAGACTGTCTTGTATGTGACAAAGCCAAGACTATTTTTATCATACAATTCAAATGGTATTTTCACTGTACTTCACAAAAGTCTTTATTTCTGATGTTAGCATTTAGGTTTTGTAAGCAACTAAACAACTGATGTGAAAATGTTGATGTCTATTTTAAACATAATAGTACATACTAAGAATATTTTGTTATTTGATGCGCCTGTTAACACTATACACTGTATAGTATAAGAACCTCCTGACAAAACAGCAAGACCAACGAGATGTCAGGTATGTCCTACCAAAAGGCCAGAAAAAGCAAAAACATGTTCTGTCAGTGTAAACACTGAGAATGGAATGTGCTGTTGTCATGTGTGAAAACTGCCTTATCTGGGACAACTGAAGTAAAGATTATTTTTTTTTTTAGAGTGCTATTGGTATTTTCATGTAGGAATTTGATTCCATTATTATCCTGTGCTTTTAGTATATGAGCTGCCAAACTGAACATTCTGTAGTTCTTTTTTTAGACTTTGCACACCAAAAATTAGAATTTAAAAATTTTGATGTTTTTATAAACAATACATATTAAAAGTGTGATATTTTATTTTTGTGATACTTTCCCTGTTAAACACTCACTGTTTAATGTAATAAAGCTCATAAAATTAAAATAATTCATCAACAGAAATATTCTAAAAATTAAACATGGGCTTAACAGATCCATGTTTATAGGATTGTGTGTGTGTGTGGGGGGGGTGGTACCAGGGATTGAACCTTGTGGTTGCCAGGCAAGCACTTATTCCACTGAGCTATCTTCCTGGCCCTATAAGATTTAATGACAAAAAATTTATTATGCTCTGTGGAAATGTATTTAAAATTTTATCACACTGAAAATTTTAACATCAATAAAAAATTGTAAGAAAACTGGTATAGCTTCAATTATTTTTGCAAAAAGGTTGTGTTTTTGTTCCCTTTCAATAAAATTTTAAGTCTTTGGGAATTTAGAAATCAAGAATAAAAAATATTTCACCTTCTTTTTCCTTTAAATCATAAAGAGCCTTCAAAGACCTCTTTTCCCACACTGTCTTTAACAACTTCATTATAAGAATGGTCACTTTTAGGCTAGTTGATACTATTAATTCTAACAAAATATTTTATACTTTAATTATTGTATTAAAAGTAAACATGTTTTCATTTTCTAACTTAAAATTTTACTTTAAATTTATTACACAAATAAACTTTCCATAATCTTAGCTATACTGAATAAATTATTTAAAAAATTGGTATACTTTCTACTTATCATTTGAAAGAGACAAAATATAATGGTATATATTAAAAATAGTTCTAAGAAAAGTATAAAAATGAAA